TGACAGAGACGTCAACAGGACGCCAACGTACTGTACATGTACTCATTAACTTTAACCGATTGGTTTATGGCATTATACAACATCTCATGAAATCTCCCTCACACACTGATGACACTGGTTTTCTTGCCCCTTGGTTGCTTATAAACGATAGTTTGACATTTTCTCTTTCTTGCCAAGTGACATGAAGAGATTAATACATGTTCACATATGATCTGAAGCCAGTTTTTCTGCTGACTTACCCAGAACAACCACAGCGGTGTAAAGTGTCCTATGAGGATGACCCAGCACAGGACCTGTCACCTTGTCCCTGCTGTGCCACAGCTGATAGTATTTCATGTTACCATCAGTGTGAAGACATGAGGAGCACAGAGGAGCAGCTGAAAAGAAAGAACCGGCAGCACCTGACAGATCCTGACTTTCTACTCTTTAGCCAGTTGGTGGCAAGAATAAGTTGCACAGACACAAAATCTGCTGCTGAGTGTTGTATAAATACATGCCAGCAAGGGAGCAAGAGAGATCGTGTGGGGGTCCCTCTGCTGGTTGTTTCTCTATTTCATCGTTCTGGCCATTTTACCAATCACTACACAACAGAAGCTCAAAGTTGGGATAAACTGAAATCTCCTGCTCCTTTTGTGTGTGTGGAGAGAACATGCGTGACTGTGTGACATGCTGCATGCAGTTAAAACACACCAGCCTCCAGCTGTGTGGCAGCTTTACCTTCACTCTGTGATACACCAGGGCGGCGATAACTATCATCGCCAGGCCGAGCGCTATGAAGACGTACTGCAAGTACTCCATCACAGTCGGTATGACAACCAGGTTTGTGCGGAACGTGTTGAGGACGGGGCCGTCGATGTACCCGCTCTAAAGGACAGAATAAAAATACACTGTGGTGTGTTACGGTACTTCATGACTGCTCAGTTTTCACAATGTCTTAGTGTGGAAAATGATTCAATCGCTGCAAAGAGCCAAACTGACTCATTAAATTCTTTTTAATTCAAAATACTGTCCTGCGTCTCACGACGAGCAGCGATGTCCAACTGCTTCATCACCTAAAAAAAGGAACCTACCTTTTCTCCTTGGTCACTGTGGATCATTTGTACTGTAAACTGTAGTATCACTGCATTTCCAACAGTGGGGCAACTAAGTACATCGAGTACTATTTGGAGGTGAGGATTTCCATGTTATGCTACTTTATACTTCTCTACTCCACATTTTGAAGGCACACTTTATTTTAACAAGACAAAACACAATAGACTAGTAGATTACGATGTGACAGATTAATCTACCCAGAAGTATATAAAGTACAGGACTTAATGAGTCTCATCTTCATCATCAGCAGCAATAAGTTTTCCGCTCATTCAGCAAGATTTACAACACACACTATTACTGAAATGGTGCTTTTATCAGAATTAGTACTTTTACCTTTGGCACTTTGTTTTGATGCCAATACTTCTCACAATATTTCAATACTGTAGTATTATGTTACACGGTCTTAACCTGCAGCCTGTAACCACCAGCCCTCCAGTTAGGAAACGACCGGCTCTACCTCCTGACCACAGCTCAGGGTATTCAGTGGTCGACAGATACAGGTTTTTCTACGGCTGATGCTGATCTTTAGAGAAGGAGAGGCCGTTTGCTGCTTTGATACGAGTTAGGACCTGCCTGACAGCAATAATGAGCTTTTGATTTAAAAATATAAGAATGATTGAAAGTGAGTGAGGGAGATAAACGTTGTGTTGACGGTCTGATCAGGCTTGCTGCAGGATTTGATACAGACGTGTTATTTGGTGTGCTATACAAGAGCTTGATACCAAAACTAGGAGTAGAACACTGTGTGCAAGTCAATATTTACAAGTCAACTGTAAAATGCAGGAGTAGAGAAGTAGAAGAGTGTCTGAGCGACAGTTCTACAAAACAGAAAACAACACAGGTGCATAGTAAAGCAAAGTAAATACACTCTTACTGTCTACTGGCTACTAACAACTTACCTCCTCAAACCAGATCATGGGCATCACCACCTCAGAAATCCTGCCCGTTTCTCTACAAGCACAAGAACACTCATGGTCAGAGCAGTAAGAAAAGCAGGAAATACCTGCCAGTCGTTCATGTGGGATGATGAATAGATGTAAACACAATACTTGACAAACGTTAATGGCATGCTAACGGTCCTTACGTAATTCCTTCCACACGTTTCATTAAGAGGTTGAGCTGCAGACGGATGGCCACATTCAGGGGGACGCCTGATAGCTGCAAAGACACACAAAAGCTGATTTTCAGGACTCAAGCACTGACTGCATTCAGACTTTGAAGTTGGAGACTTGGACTCTGCAGCACCGAGGAGTCACACCCAGGGCCCATGTTTTCTTTCACCCATCTGAGATGGACTCATTAAGTGATTTCCCTTAATAATTAACTTGGCACCCATGTAGACTTCCTGGACTTGACTTAACATCTAATGAGCTTTACTCTGCACAGCAAAATCCTGCGTTGTTATCAAACCAGCTATCATTTTATTGGAGCCCTAGAAAGTTTCTAACAACCCTTGTCTGAAAAACACCGGCAATTATGGCTAAATAGCCCAATTTTCAATTACCTTATCACAAATCACAGCCAACATAAAACACTTCTGCTGAGGGTTACACAGCTACATAATGAGCTGAATCGTGCAAAACTTATCAGCCCCTCACTTTTATAATTTAAATGGCAATGGAATTATCATCACAAGCCTGTTACGGTTTCAGTGAACAGTAATAAAAACAGATAGCATCAGGTTCTTTTGGACATTTCATGTCATGTGGGTTTATCAGTAGTGGCCAATAAATATACCCTTAAAGATTGTCAGAGTAAATTGAACTTGGTGACAATCAGAGCGCACACCCTTTATTTTCCATGTGCACAAAGACGCTGGCTGCAGTAGAGTCACAAAACTGAAACAAACTGTGAACTGGCCTGAGCACAAACTGCAGCCTACACACAGGCGAACCAACACCTCTGTGAAACAGTGTGAACACAGACTGAACATTTCCACCTTCATGGACGAGGGCTCAATGCAGGACCGCTGGATCAGACTGACTCAGTTTGAACTAGATGCATCTAATAAACTGACCACTGAGTGTAGAGCAACAGGTTTAGGAAGCCTGTATTGATACAGGTTTTTAAAAGCTCATGCCAGTATTGAAATATTTATTAATGCATCAATGTAATTTTAACAGGAGGATGTCAAGTGTAAAACCAGGATCCAAAATGTTCTGTCCTCATTTACTAAAAGATAAAAACCAACACACAATATAAAGTCCATGCTATGCAATCAGTCCACCTCTGCTCAACAACAGCCACAATAAAAACCATCTGATGTCACTCAGAATATTGTCCTGACTATTTTGTCTTGAGTGCAAACTCAATCACAGTATCTGCAGCTGATAAGTTTGACACAGTGCAATAAAAACTCTTGGCACATTTATAAGAACAACTTTGTTTTTCTTTTAAAATCTAAATTCCTCTTTTAGCCTCTTGTCAAATGTCCTAGTATATGAATAAGTAGAACAAAACAGAGCTACCACATCCAGTTTCTGAAGAGAGCATGCTTGGAAATTACAGATGTGATATATTAATCAGACAGATTCAACAAGACAAACAGAACTTGTCAGTGACAGCTAAAATCTGGAGAGCATGTGATGAAAGCAAGGCCTCATTTGGTTTTACTCAAGATTAAAGACATTCAGGGAGAAAAATAACAGAAATTAAAAAATAAATCACTAAAGTTTTAAGGATTTCTGTTTTGGCATATAACTAAATTACTATCTGTTAGCGTTAGCTGACTAACAGTAAATGTGTCAGTCCAGTAGAAGCTCTGGTTACTGCTGATGTGACACAAAGCACTGACGTTACACAAAGCTCCAGTTCCTCCCAAATTAAAATCTTTTTAATTCAACACAAAGGTAAAATCCTGACCATGCTAGGTGGCTAATGCTACCAAAACAAACAGGTTAGTTTTAGATGCTAACACATCCAGAAGGAAGAGCCCCACATCCAGTCTGAGTCCTCTGGCTGCTTTTAATCCTCTCCATGTCAAACAGCCAAACCCATGTTAACCCTGGTTGTTGCTCTTTCTTTGTCCCACTCTCTCTGCGCAAAAGACGCCACCTCTTCACTCTGACAGCTGCTGGTTCAGACTTTTAGCTGCCCAGAGCACTTTGACAACACAGGGTGGAGAAGCTGGAATAACAACAGGAGGCTGTAGGCAGCAGAGGGTCATTTGGGGGGGGGTATAGCTGGGAGACACCATGTCCTGTCCCACTGTCACTGGGGTTAGCAGACAGTGTGGGAAATCTTAGATAATACACCTTTAGGTTTGATCACTTCATGAGAGTGTGTGTGTATGTGTGTGTGTGTGTGCGCTCACTGGGTGAATGTCTATGAAGAGGCCATGCTCTTCCTCACTGGGATGAAGGCCCCGCACATAGTCCAGTAGCACCGGATCAGCATTGAAGAAGTGAGGTTGAGAGATGAAGACTGGAGAGTCTGAAATAGACAAGAAACAGCACAAATTACTCAGCCACACTGATTCATAAGCATGTGTGAATTAACTTACCATGTGTTATTAAGTATTTGCTTGCAAGGTTTGTCCAATCTTGTCAATTTATGTGAAATTAGTTACCAAATATACTGTATAAAAAGCGAGGTGTAATACAGCATTATGTACTGTAGCAGGCTTGATTCAAACTGTGATACTCTGACTACTCTTTTCACATCATGGATCTAAATGGAAGATGTACAGCGTAAACATTAGTTCTGATGGATTCATCAACAAATCAATGACTTGTTTCAGAGAAAATGATTGTACAGTTTTGATTAATCATTACATCCAGCAACAACCCTAAACATTCTGGTTTGAGCTTCACTGCTGTTTCTAAGTGTCTTAGATCACTGTGAACTGAATATGTTCGACTTTAGACTGAAGCTCCAGGGAACTGCGATGGCCATTATCTGCTGTTTTACAGACTGAAGAAGTGATTGACCAATAAAGAACAAATCAAATTCCTAATTAGTAATGAAATAATCAGCTATAGCTCCAATATTTATACTGAAAGACTCACTGTGTTACATGGTCGTACAAACTCTGTGATGTAAAGGACTTGAGTTATTAGTCAGACAGACTCACTGTAGCGGCAGCTGCTAACGTTCAGCAGACCAGACTGTCTGCAGGGGCAGAACCCTTCATTGGGTGCGTACTCTGTCCCATTGGCAAACATGGTCTTGGGTGCAACATATCGATACAGAGGGATGCCTTTAAACGTGCCAGAACGCTGATAAACGAACTCTAGAGACCTGAAAAAACAAACAAACATGGAAATGTACATTTGCACTGTGAGAGACATGGCTGAGAAAACATAAGATCCCTTACCTGCAGGCGTCAGGGCTGTAGAAAGGTAGCGTCCTCTCTTTTGTGATGAAGGGGGGCCACAACTGTCCAGCTGTTCCATTGATCATGTTACACTGAGGAGTCCGCCAGTACTTCAGCTGTAACAGAACGCGGTCAGACGGGTGTGTAAACAATGAAGAAACAAACCTGTAGGTGTGTGCTGAAGGCTCACATTCGTCAGGCCATTCCAGGAGTCGACTTTATGAACTTTCCTGATGTCGTCTCGTCCGGTGAAGATGGTGAACAGACCAGTGTCGGTGTTATTGATCTACATAAAGATAACACATGAACACCACACTTTATCTGCTGTGCTTATTATTTGTGACTGAAACAAGTGAAAGACTGTCTAGCCAGTGTTTTATGTTCCTGATTATACATATAAGTGTAGGTAAAATATAAACAGCTAGTAAAGTGGCTACAGAAGCCATTCTAGCTGGCACAACCCTATCCACACCGTTTGTCTCTTTTTGTCACACAATTTCCCCAGGGGT